AAGAATCCAGAAATCATCAAGTAATCCAGATAGTCCCAAGTTATATCTTCTTATTTCTTTTTCGACTTTCTCTTCCTGAGGTTTTTGTTGCGATATTTCAGTTAAAATGTATCTTTTGGAAGTCTTGTTGAGATTTTGCTGTAAGTTCTTTTTAATTCCAGGCAGTCTCCCTTCCAGATCTTGCCCTTTTATTCTTTTTCTCTCCTTTCCTGTTTGCAAAAGCTTTTAATTATCCAGAAATCTTTATTATCCCTTTGACTTTTTATTTTCAGCATTAAATGCCTATTGATGTCAAAGTGTATTTTTTTCTAATTTCTTGCTTAAGTCTCTTAGCTGTCAGTATAGGAAAAGGAGAAAAGCAAATATTTTCCCTTTTCTCTCTCCTTCGCAGCTTAAAAATCTTCTTAGGGAACAATGTTATTGTTTTTTAATAGTTTCAATTCCAGGGTACCTTATTTGTTGCTTTTGCTGTTTGACCCGGTCAACCAAAACTTTCTCTTCTTATCTTCCTCCTGCACATTCTTTTCTGGTCGAGTTCTTCTTTGTGGTGGCTATTTCTGACCACCGCTGCAACCGCCTTCGGGAAAGGGAGTAATGGCCAGCTGGGGAGGAGAGATGTGGCTCTCCTCAACCCTGCTGGCAGTCTCCCCCCTCTTCACCACCTCTATGGGGTGGCTTAGCCCCGAAACCAGCCGGCTTGGGGCGCTCCAGCGGCGAGCACGGATCGAAGCCTCACAGAGACGAGGTTTTGGTCTGTCGCTGAAGAACGACTTTCCTTCTTATTGACTCTCTTCTTTCCATTACTGCTTCCCTGTTGAGTTCGGTTCCTCTTTTGGGGCTTTCTGCCCCAAAATCCCAAGTTGAATTGACCCACCTAGGTCTTAAGGCTTCAGCTTCAGGGTAGGAGGGCTGTGAGCTCAGTCTGATCCCAATTCCACACAAGGTCTAGCTGCGCCTCCCAAAATCAAATTGCATCCCTATATGAACAGCCCTTGGGGGGAGGAGGGGGAGAGTGATAGACAAAGTATTGCTGTCTATGGGTGTGCATGAAATACTTGGCACCAAAAAAAAGGCAAATCATGTCAGGCTGGATTGTTGCTTATCATGCAGAGGTGAGACTTGAGAAAGAGAAGCTGGAAAGGAGGTTTTTGGGCTGGAAGATCCCCAGATGCTTAGGCTGCCAGCCAGGGTTGTTCTTGGGGCTTCCCCTGGAGACTGTCCAGACTCCAGAGGCTCCCAGGAGCTTCTCTCTGCTTTCCTGGAAGCATTCAGGGGAAATGGCAGGTGTGCAAACCAGAAGGCCTAGAAGGGAGGAGATCTGGCTGGCCTTTGGGAAGAAGTCCTTCCAGTGTGGTTGGGAGTCCGGGAGATATTTTTTTTTGGGGGGGGGGGGGCAATTTCCTTCCAAAGTCCTTCACAGCCCAGCTCTGTGTTCTGAGTGGGGCACAGCCTCTTGGCTCTTTTCCCAGCGCTCCATCACAAGAACACACCCAGCCAACCCACACAAACGCCACCATTTATAGAAGAGAATGACAGAGTTGGAAGGGACCTTGGAGGACTTCTAGACCAACCCCCTGCTAACCCTCTACCACTTCAGACAAACGGCTTTCCAACCTCTTTTAAAAAACTTCCAATGTTGGAGCATTCACAATTTCTGGAGTTGTTCCACTGATGAGTTGCTCTGTCATGGAATTTCTCCTTCGTTCTACGTTGCTTCTCTCCTTGATGAGTTTCCTCCACCCATGGCTTCTTCTCCTGCCCTCAGATGCTTTGGAGAATAGCTTGACTCCCTCTTCTTTGGGGCAGCCCCTGAGATACTGGAACACTGGCTATCATGTCTCCCCTAGTCCTTCTTTTCATCAAACTAGAAATGCCCAATTCATTCAAACCGTTCCTCATACGTTAACCTTTAGCCTCCAGTCCCCTAAATCAGGGGTCCTCAACCACCGGGCCGCGGACCGGTACCGGTCCGTGGAGCACTCTTTACCGGGCCGCAAAGAAAAAAAAAAATTTAAAAAATGGCGGCTTTCTTCGCCTTTGGTGAATGCTGCTGGGATCGGGGATCAAGGACACAAATGAAAGAAGGGGAGGGAGGAAGCAACCGAAGCCTGTCCTGCTCTCTGGCTCAGCTCTCTCAGTCGCTCTCTCGCTCCTCCACCAGCCCAGGAAGAAACTGCCTCAAAGGAGGCGGGGGGGGGGGTGGCTTTTCCTGTCGCCGCAGCTTTCCCGAAGCGCCCGTTTCACCCCCACCCCGCCCGCCCGCTCGCTCGCGGTTCAATCCACAGTGCTCCGTTCTGCCTGCCTGCCTGTCTGGTTGTTTGGGAGCAGCTTCGGCTGAGAATAATAACTATTCGCCTCTTTTTATCAGCCGAAGCTGCTCCGAAACGAAGAAGGCAGGCAGGCAGGCAGAACCGAGCACTGTGGATTGAACCGCGAGCGGGTGGGCGGGCGGGGTGGGGGTGAAATGGGCGCTTCGGCGAAGCTGCGGCGACAGGAAAAGCCACACACCCCCGCCCCGGCTTCTTTGAAGCAGTTTCTTCCTGGGCTGCTGGAGGAGCGATAGAGTGACTGAGAGAGGAACGAGGCAGACACCTGAGGGAGGGAGGGAGGGAGGGAGGGAGACACCTGAGGGATGGGGCTGAGGGAGGCAGGGCCGAGGCGCTCCCTGAACTTGGTGGTTTGCTGGCAGACGTTTTATTACCCGACTAGGTAACAACATCAGATGTTACCTAGTCAGGTAATGAAACGTCTGCAAGCAAACCACCAAACTCGGATTCTCTCCCTCCCCCCCCCTCCTTGAAAAAATGTTTCTGCTTGAAACCGGTCCCTGGTACAAAAAAGGTTGGGGACCACTGCCCTAAATCATCTTTGAAAGAGCACTCTCGCGGCCCCCCGGCTGTGCCCATCCTTTGGGGCTCCCGATTGGGAGAAAAAACGGTCGTTGCTTTCTCCTCTCCCCCCCATCCCCCGACTTTCACCTCCTTCTTCAGTTCTAGGCAGCAGCCCTGAGACTCTCTGGTGTCCCAGGAGCCTCGCCCACCGTCCATTTCTCATGGGAAAAGTGGGGAAGGGGCTGGGAGAGGGGAGGCCTGTCGGGAAGCCAGGCGCAGAGGCAACCCCAGTGGGAGGGGTCACAATGGGAAGGTCCCGCCCACTGTTGCCTGGTCTGCCCAGAACCCAGGCCATGGGTTTCTGGCTCCATCTTATGGCCATTTGAGGAACCACACCCAATTACAATTTTAGCATTCCCTTAAAGAGACAGTATTAAAATATCTATATCCTGGTTTATATATTTTCCAACCCAACTGTTAGGTGACTTACATTCCGAACAAGTGTCATGTATATTTAACAGAGCCCCCCAGCGTTGTAGGGGTTCCCACCGGGGACCAGACAGGTGCTAGGCTAAGAGGAAGGGGGAGTGAAACAAGGCTGGCATGAAAGGAGGGGGAAAGCGGGGAAGAGGCTGGGAGAGGGGAGGCCTGTCGGGAGGGGTCACAATGGGAAGGTCCCGCCCACTGTTGCCTGGTCTACCCAGAACCCTGGCCACGGGAAGGGCGGCAACCAGGCGGGCGCTCCGCTGTGCTCGGGACTTTCCCCGCGGAGGCTGAGGAAGAACACGGAAGGGCAGCACCGGGCAAGGAGGGAAGAAGCTCCGGGCTGGGGGATCAGAGTTGCGGGGAGGGTTCCAGCAGAGACGGGAGGAGGCTGGAGAGACCCCGCGAGTCCCGGGTCCCTCTCGGACCTTCAGGCTTTGGCTGCGCCCGGCGGGAGAGACGGGACGGGATCTCCGCAACTCCCAAAGACCCAATTCCATCCCGTTTCTCTTCCTCCAGGACGCCACTATTCCAGCCTGGGACAAGCCCGATCAATGCCGGCCGTGTGGCTGCGAGGGCCGGCTTTGTTCAGTCTCAGCTCGGCAACAATCACACACGGCACAGTTTGCTCTTTTTGTTGTACACACCAGTATTTCATGCACACACACAGACTCTCTCTGAGTCTCACTCCCCGCCCGGGAGTATTTGTCCATATATAGACTCTCTCTATTGGGTATATAATAGAGACATTCAGCAGTTTAACTTAGGGAGAAGCAGCTGGTAGACCTTGTGGTGAAACGGGCCAGACTGAGCTCACGGCCCTTCTTCCCTGAAGACTTTGGAGGGGATTTGGCCCAGGTGAGCCTCTCCCAGCTCGGATGAGAGATTCTCGCTTTGGAGCCCTAAGTGGAAACGAGCAACTGGACTCAGAAGGCATAAAGGAAAAGACGAAGAAAAGGAAAGAACAGAAGACTCTAAGAGGGGAGGGGAAAAGGAGGGGAGGGAAAAGAAAAGGAAAGAGTCCAATAAGAAGGAAAGGCAGACTCCCTTTAAGGCTCTTGCGGAAAAGCCATTATCCCTTAAAACGCGGAGTTGTCATAAATAAAACTCCCATTATTCGCTCATAGAATCCCTTCATTAAATACAACCTTAACTGTCGCTGCTTCCTGAGGGCAGCCTCTGGCTGGGACCTCGCTCCCCCCTCCCTGGGCGCCAAAAGACAGCCAAGCAGGGAACTTCAGCCCTGGAAGCCCCTCGCTCTGTCTGGAGCGCCAGGGGGAGGACTGAGAGAGAAGCGGGTGGGGCTTGGCTGAAGCTTGGCTGAGAGGAAGTTGGGGTGGGGGTGGGGGGTTTCCGAGCCCCGCCAACTTTTGCTTTACTGGAAATCAACTTCGGTTTCAGTTCTGCTCGTTCAGAGCACAGCAGAAGGGCAAGATTTTCCTCGGCTGATGGCTGCAGCTTGGGGGGTCTTCGGGTAGGGTACGGATGTAAAAGGCCAGGTGGCTGGAAAGCGATGCAGCTGCAACGGGCGCCCCTCTGGCTCCTTGGAGCGGTGCTGGGGGCCTTCGTGCAGCGGGGCTGCTGCGGTGAGTGCCTGGAGGGACTTGCGACCCGGAGGGGAGGAAGCAGAAGGGGAGGGGGGTCGTGTCCTGGGCTGGGTCTCTCCCCCTCTAAGATCCTTTCCTAGAAGGGACAATCTGCCTTCCCTCGTGGCGCTTCGCCGAGCCTCCTTTAAGAACGTTTGGCGTTTCCTTTGTAATCAGTTCCCATCCTAAGAAAATAGCGGAGGGGAAAGACAACTAAGGCAGAATATCAGCAGATAGCCAGACTCTGCAAAGATGAAGTCAGGAAAGCAAAGGCTCAGAACGAACAAAGACTTGCAACAAAAGTCAAAGATAATTTAAAAAGTTTCTTCCAACATATAAATAACAAGAAAAAAAAAATCAAGGAAGCAGTCGGTCCACTAAAGAGAGAAGACAGCAAGGAAGTAACAGGCAATAGAGAGAAAGCAGAACTGCTTCACTCATTCTTTGCATCGGTCTTCCTGCAAAAAGAAACTATAGCTCAACCCACCAAAAACATAACTGTAAAAGACAGACCAGAAATAAAAGTTAAAATAAGCAACAACAAAAAATAGTAAGATAACACCTGTCTGATCTTGATGAAAACAAATCACTGGGGCCTGATGGATTACATCCCAGAGTTTTAAAGGAGCTGGCAGAGGTCATCTCAGAACCACTGCACCATATCTTTCAAAAATCCTGCAGCACCTGGGAACTACCTACAAAGTCTCTTCCAACTCTGATTATCTGCTATCTGTTAATTCTTTATTGGCCAAGTGTGATTGGACACACAAGGAGTTTGTCTTGGTGTATATGCTCTCAGTGTACATAAAAGCAAAGATACATTCATCAAGAGTCAAGAATCATAAGGTACAACACTTAATGACAGTCATAAGGTACAATAAGCAATCAAATCATACTAGGAAACAGTCAATATAAATCGTAAGTATACAAGTGAGAAAGTTACAGTCATACAGTCACGAGTGGGAGGCAATGGGTGATGTGATGAGAAGATTAACAGTAATAGTAGTGCAGACTTTGTAATATATTTGAACAGTGTTGAGGGAATGATTTGTTTTGCAGAGTGATGGCGTCTGGGAAAAAACTGTCCTTGTGTCTCGTTGTTCTAGTGTGCAGTGCTCTATAGCGTCGTTTTGAGGGAAGGAGTTGAAACAGTTTATGTCCGGGATGTGAGGGGTGTCTCATAGAGATATTTTCACAGCCCTCTTATTATACACACACATGGGGGAACAGGGACAGCAGAGGGAGGGGGGAAGAGGTTGCCGCAGGACATTTGAGGTGGTCACACAGGAGGGGCAAAGAAAAGGAGGAGCTGTTTGTAGAAGAGTTTGCACTTTTATTTTATTATTCGTTTTAATTTTTCCAGAACAGAGGCATTTTCAGAGCTCTCACCCCATTTTCGGCCACCTCTGCCTTGGAGCTCCAAACTCATCAGAAAACAGAGCCAGCTGGGAAGGGCCTGCGGGTGGGGGAGGGCCTGGATTGCTTCTTTGGAGGGGAATGGGACAATTTAACAATTCTATTTAATTATTTAAAATAAATAAAAAATGTTTTCATTTTTACCGTTCACACTTCTTTCTGTCCCTCCTCTTGCATCCTATGGCCGGTTGGCCGTGGTGAATTGTCATATTATAGACCGTCTCTGAAGATCAGCCAGGACTCTGACTCCCACAAAGAAACTCCAAATGAATTTTCCCCTGCCAACTGGCAAGGAGCTTTATGATTGTAGTCACACACACAGGCAGCTGGCTGGGAATATCAAGGGCCCAGAGGAGCTGTGGGAGGAGTCTAACCAGATGTGGGTCTGCCCAGGTGTTTCTAGAGGTCAGCCAAGGGATGGCTGGGGCTTCTTCCTCGGGTTTAAAAGAAGGAACCTTCCCAAGCAGTGCAGAAAGAGGGCGGCCCCCTTGTTGATGGTGCTGGGTGACAATAAAAGGTTGGAGGAGATGGAGCTGCAGTGCAGACCCCCCTCATTCTCTCCTCCCTCTCCAGGCTCCCTCTCACACTCCCTGAGCTACTTCTACCTGTACCTGCCAGAGCCCAGCGGCGGGCCACCTCTGTTCTCCGTTAGGAGCTACCTGGACGACCAGCCCATCACTCACTTTGACAGCCTCACCAGGAAGATGGAGCCTCTGGTGCCCTGGATGGAGGAGGTGGAGAAGGAGATGTTTCTGGTCTCCAAGAGGGTCTTCAGGGCTGACCTGGAGAAGTTATCCAAACTCAGCCACCAGAGTGAAGGTGAGCAGAGGCTGGGTCACCTTTGACCTCCAGGCCTGCAGGGGGCATAATGGTGAGATTTTCCTTCCTGAAAAGAAAGAATCCCCCACTTTCCACCTCCAGCCCTGGTTTTCTCCCTCCCCTGGACACTCTGCACAGCCTGAGGGTAGCCAAACAAAGTTAACTGAAGACATTTCTCCTTGTGTGCTAAAGAGGGGAGGGAGAAATCGTGTTTCTCTCCCCAGGTGGCAAGCGGGGTATAGACTCTAATGGTGTCTAGGGAGTGGAATCCTGACCCTTTTCATTCACACCCACCTCCTCTGGGTCTGTTTCAGGGCTTCACACCTGGCAGGCTGTTTGGGGCTGTGAACTCAGGGAAGACAGGGGCAAAGGAGGATATTTCCACTATGGCTACGATGGGATGGACTTCATCAGCTTCGACAAGGAGACCCTCAGATGGGTGACAGCTCAGTCCCAGGCCCAGAAGGTCAAGGAGGAGTGGGAGGAGGATCCAGGGTCATCAGAGAAAATGAAAGATTTGCTGGAGAACGCCTGCATTCAGTGGCTGCAGAGATACCTGTCCTACCAGAAGAAGGAGGCTGTGCAGAGGATCGGTGAGTGACAAAAGGGGGTCTCCACTGGGCATGTTTCTTTGGGCTCCCCCCTCCCCGTAGTATTTCTGTCCTACATAGCCAAGCTACCCTCTGTAGAAAAGGGTCAGGCAGGATCCCACATCACATGACAGGAGGAAAATAATCTTCTGAGCAAGAAATTAATGCTGGATGTCTCCTTGTTTCCCTGGGAGAATCTTGCAAAGCAGAAGAAACCGATGTCCTGTTTTAGGGTCAGAAGGAAAAGATCAGTCTGTTCCTGAATTCTATCTAGAAGAACTTGAATAAATTCAATTGGGGGGGTTAAAATTAAACTCCAAACACTGAATTACGTTGGTCAACAGAAGAACTTTACCCAACTTTTATTTTTAACCCTTCCAAAAATAGATCTAAAGAGTTTCAATGCCCCAATCTTGGAGACTCCCAGAGGTTCAGAGGAGGAGAAGGAGCAGAGGGAGAGAATGGCCAAAGGAGGCCTTGCCTGTCATTAAGCCATCTTGACAGAAACTCTAGAAAACCTGGTTACTCTGATATTACTTCTTCTGCAGAGCCCCCAGTGGGGAAGGTGAATTCCAAGGTGGTGGATGAGAGGCTGGAGGTCCTCACCTGCCAGGCCTTTGCCTTCTACCCCAAGGAGATCCAGGCCACCTGGACCAGGGATGGAGAGGCCTGTGTCTACGAGACCCTCCGTAGCAATGTGGCGCCCAACTCAGACAGGACCTATTATATTCGGCTCAACATTGAGATCGACCCCAAGGAGAGGGACCGTTTTCGGTGTCACCTGGAGCACGAGGGTTTGCAGGAGCCCCTCGACTTGGCCTTCAAGGAGGAAACAGGTGAGAGGCTGATGGGGTTGTGATGTGTAGGAAAAAACTTTGTGTAGAAGTTACATCAATATTTGACAATGTGGGCAGAGTTTGCTGCTGCTTCATCTCATGTTTTCAGGTGGAGAACAGCAAATACGGTATAGCCATCTATTTAGCAATGGGAGAGAAGTGATTTCTGTCAGAAAAGTAGGAAATGGTAATAGGAATAATGTGAATATATGATATATGAGATGATGGGTGGAGGCTCCTCCTTCTGCCCTTCAAGGCCATTCGCTCTGCCCTCTTCAGCCTTGGGGGGGAGGAGCTTCCTTCAGGTGGGGGCACTTCCTGGTGGCCGGTTCAGCTTGGGAAATGCTTCCCTTGCTCAGCATCTCCACTTCAGGGAACTCAGCATCTGTCTAATCAGAACTTCTGAATTTCTCCTCCTTTAGCTACCACAAGGTGGGCTCTTGTGGGAGTTCTGGCTGCCGTAATCTTGGGAGCTGGGCTTCTCTTCCTGATAGGTAAGTGAAACAAACACATCCACTGACATCCCCTCCCCTGTGTCTTTCTGTGTTGACTGAGCTGGTGTGGCTGACAGAGCCTCCCTGAGAGTTTCACTGTTGTGGTTAGCCAGCAGTAGGTGCAGATGGCTGAGGAGAGCGATGACTCCGATGAGGGCCAGGACCATCAGGGAGTGGGCTGCTGCCTTCAGGGGTTGTGGGGGATGGCAGCAGTGAGGAGGAGGTTCCCAAGGAGCCTTGCCAAGTACGTGTGAGTGCAGGATGATTCGTAGAAGAGAACAGCTGGAGCAGCACAGGTGATTGGGAGTAAGAATGCTAAGTAATCAGGGGTGGGATTCTACCAGTTTGCACCTATTCACTAGAACCAGTTGTAAACATTCTAAACAGTTTGGAGAACCAGTTGTTAGAAGAAATTACTGGCTTAATCCTGTAAGGAAGGCAGGAAGGAAACATTCTGGTGTTGCTTACAGAAACTGCCTCTCCGTTAACCCTTATTACATTCTTGGCAGGACTAGACTTCCTGTCTCAGGAACGTCTCTGGAGTTTTTTTCCCCGTCCTTTGCTTGAGTGGAGTGACCATTCAAAGTTACAATGGCACTGAAAAAGTGACATGACCATTTTTCACACTTACAACTGTTGCAGCATCCCCACAATCACGAGAGGCCAGACGAGGAGATGCGTGACTCGATGTGAGTGATATTGAGTTGGCCATGCCCAGCCAATAACATGACCACCAAGCCACGCCCACCAACTGAGCCACGCTCACAGAGCCAGTTGTTAAAAAATTTGAATCCCACCCCTGTAAGTAATGGCCCCTCCCTCCAGGGAATATAAGCCTGATTTCAAAGGGTTTTTGCTCTGTAGAAGGCAAAAACGTTCGAAGGACTCAGCATTGTGTGTGGAGACTCCGGCTTATCCAAAGAATTCTGTCAGAGCTTTTCTGGTTGGACTAATTGGCTGCAAGCCATCTTTTATCTACAAAGAAGTTTATTTGTAGATTAAAGCTGTGAAGGTTTGAGTTACTGCCTTTGTTTGAGATTTTCTTGCTGGTAACCAGGTTGGGTCAGAACATTCACTCATGTTTCCCCTAAGCAGCATTTTGAACAGGAGTCAGACAGGAAGAAGCTACGCAGCTATTTTTTCCCATTTCTTGTAAACCTCAGGATGTTCCCCCTTCCTCGTGTCTGGGAGGAAGCCTCTTAAACCTGAATAGAGAAGCAAATATCAGGAACCGAGGAATCAAAGAAAAGTCCCATAAATGATCTGGGAAGTGCTAGAAAAACCATAATCCTGCACTTGAAGAAGACCGGGGAAGTTTTGGTGGAAGGTGGGGAGGGCAATGGAGGGAGGGGGCCTGTGTCTTCTTCCCGTGTTTGCAATCACACTCGGGAACAAACCTCAACAGGAAGGAAGGTCCAGCGGTCAAAGGAGCCATTGCTTGTTCTTTTCCTACTCAGAGCAAGAGATGAGAGAGGGAGGAGGGATGTGGGAAGGGTCTCCTCAGTTGAGCTTCACCAAGTGCAGGGCAGCACAGAACAGAATAGCAGACTTAGAAGGGACCTCGGAGGTCTTCTATTCCAACCAGGCAGGAGACCCTATCTCATTCCAGATGACCACCCTGTCTCTTCTTAAAAGCCTCCAGTGATGGATCACCCACAACGTCTGAAGGCAAGCCATTTCACTGGTTAATTGACCTCACTGTTAGGAAGTTCCTTCGTGGTTCTAGGTTGCTTCTCTCCTTGTTTATTTTCCATTCATTGCTTCTTGTCCATTCACATCTGTGTAATATTCTCAGCAAGAGGGTGGAACTGCTTTACCATTTCCTTCTTCCAGGGTGGGCCTTTGACTTGCTTGAGATTTGCTTGCTTGTCAGTCTCAGGTGCAAGTGCCAAGCCTGTCAGACCTGCTTAACTTTCCAGAATCAGCCACCTTTTCCTTAGAGCTGGTTACGTTGGAATCGAGCTTTGGAATATTAAAAACACAGAATGGGATTGTCAGACCTGCCCCAATCCAATCCCTTAGGAAAGAAACACCCTCGACTCCATTTGGATATAGTGATGTTGGTAGCAGTTGGTAGCAGAATAGAATTATTTCCCATGCAAAAGCATACCGACTATTTCCCTCCAATTCTACCTTCCCCTCTTGATCAGTCTGTCTCCGGCCAATGGGTGGATGTCTAGGTGTTTTGAGAACCTGCCGTGTTTGGAGCAATCAACATTCCATTCTCAAGCATCTCCATCTTCTCAGTGTCCTTGAAGACTGGCACAATCTGGTTCAAAGCATCCCTGGTCTTCCTCAACTGTCATTCCCTCCTCCCTATTTCCCAGCCCTAGGCTAATCCTTGTTTATTGCTTATTTGGTCCCTTGCTTCTTCCTCTGCCCACCTGCTCCTAGCAATTGATGGCAGGATGTTGACTTACCAACTTCATCCCACAACTGTCAAGCAAGTGGGACATGAGGAAGAAGGAAATGACAAAGTCCTTCCACATTGTTGCTTAAAAGCCATTCATGATGCTTTAGTGCAAGTAAGCACTATTTAGTATAATTGGGCGGAGCCTGCTGGACATCTTTGAAAGAGGGTGGAAAAACAGGACTGTCTAATTGGAGCTGTAATTAGAACATGGATAGTTTTAACTTGATGGTTTCTCAAGAACTTCCAGGAATCTTCCATTTCATTTTCCCCCTGGTTAGCAACTCTTGATGGCTAACAATTTTGCCCTTGAAATAAACAGAGGAAGGACAAATATATTTTTCTCAAGATGTTGGGTTAAAATCCAGGTAGTTGTGCTGTCTGGGCCCTTTGGGGTCTTTAGCATAAACCCTCTCCAGCCCAGGCAGGAGCTGCTGCCCCAGAAATAAACTGCCTGTCTTCTCCTTTCACCATCTATCAGGCTGCAGATGGTGGAGATGCAGGAAAAAACACCTTCAGGAAGAGACAACATTCCCTGATGATGTTTGTCTAGAAAGGCTCCCTTCTTGCCCAAGTGCAGAAGTTGGGATTCATTGCTGGTGATGTTCCATCCTGCAATAAGTGGAGGTGAGTCTGAATATTGCTGAAGTCTATTTAAAAGACTGAACTCTGAGCTTGGAAATATACCTGGGAGCCAAGAAGTATTTATTCTGAGAAGCACAAAGCTGAAGACACAAGCCTGAAGATGACGAATCAGACTTCGTTGAAACGTTGCCTGAACAAAGCTGAATACCATACATACATACATACATACATACATACATACATATGTATGTTTTCTTAAGTTTTCGCGGGTACTTACATGTATGGTATTCAGCTTTGTTCGGGTATTTTCCCACGTCATTATAGTTGTGCTTTTAAAGTTGTAGCAATGTTTCGGCAGAATCTCATCTGCCATCATCAGGCTTCTGTATTGTGTTCATCTGTGAGTCAGACTTTCACAGACGTTTCTGTTTTAAATTTGGGGCTAGCCTACTGCTGTGCCAGAATGGTTTTTTTCTTCATCCTGATTGGTTGGGAGTCTTGGTCTGTGTTTATTGGTCTTGGAATTTGCTGTGTTCTGCTTGATTGGTGTTTCTAATATCTTCTGTCTGTTTTGTGGCTTTTTTTTTTTTTGGTCTTGATTGGCTGGCAACATTGTGTTTCCTGTATTGGAGGCTTTTAGTGCAGCTTTTAGTGCAATCTCTGAGCTTGGAAAATATCTGGCAGCCAAGACCATCAGGCTTGTTGTGGGGGGGTGGGATGTGAGGAATCCACCCTCTAAAGTCTTTCCAAGACAGCCATGAGAAGAGATGGTGGGCTGCTTGGGGTTCCTTTGGGGCTCAGCCCCTCCTGCCTGGGACCCTCCGATCAGCTGCTCTTCAGAAAATATCCAGCCCAGCTCAGCCTCTCATCAGCTCTGAGGGAAAAATGTGAGAACGGAAGAAAGTGTTGGGCACGCTGGGAAAATGAGGGATGTTTCTGCAAGGAAGACTGGAAGGGAAGGAGGGAAAGAGATTAGGGGGCTATCCAGTGTGTGTGTGGGGGGGCTATCCAGAAAAAATGCTGCTTGAGGATGCTGAGTTGGAGGGGTAACAGGAAAGGAACTCTAAAAGGGAGAAAGTGAGGATCCCACCCCGAGAATTCCTCTCTCCAGGGAGGGGCTGTCTCTTTGGGTGAGAATTTCAAGCCCTTCTCCAATTTGGCTGCTTTCCCCCCATGCCTCCTGGGGGCTTGCTGTGGGGGGGAAGAGGGAGCCAAGGAGAGGGCAGTAAAGGCCCTCCCCATATAAACCAGGGAGTTGTGACTTTCTCCATTTTCTTACTTTGCAGCACAACCCAACCTATGGAGGGTGAAGGCTCAAGAGGACTATCAAAGACACTGTTTCAACGTTGCCCAGCGAAGAAGGAAAACAGTTTATGATTACTTCTTATTTAGCACAACTTAGAGGTAACAGTGGCAAGATACCTTGTATCTACTGATGAGATTATCCATTGGTTTGTCAGCTTTGGATTGCCTGGTTGACCTGCCGTAGATGAAAGTCCGACCATGGGCCTTCCTGCTGAAGGATGCCTGTCCATTAAGGTGATGGATGAGATGCTAGTCCCCAAGGGGCTCAGGGATGCTTTGAGTGTAGGAATATTATTGATCATCAGGTCAACATCTCCCATACCTCCTAAGCTTTACTTGAACTTTAGCTGTAACCGTGGTCACAGAAAATGTACAGAATGTATGATATTGCTCTTAAAGATTGGAGTCTGCATGTTTTCATGGCTGGTTCATGACAAGGTGTGCTTTTCAGAACTGTACAAAAGGGGCTCTGATGGGTTTCAAAGACCAGTCATTGTGCAGGGTGCCAAGATGTGGCACATATGTGGCATTTGTTACTTTTATACCATTTTTACAAGCAAGGAAGAGTAGCATAGATACAGTATTTGGATTGGAGAATAGATCCCACATGGGTGAAACCTCCCAACCTTTAAATCCTTAAGAATAGTGATGATGTTAGTAAAATGAGATCACCTATAAGTCCAGAAAATCTGGGACTTTCCAAGCCAAGATAGAGGATGAGATCATGTAGTAACAAAGAGGCCACCATAGGCCAAACGCTGCAGTTTGCTGCTAGCATCTAGCGCCATATATAGGATCTCAGTGGCTACTCTGTGGAGCGGGGAGAGGGGGTGTCCCATTTTGGAATTTACTTCTTTATAAATAAAAGTCTTACACTTTCCCACCTATCAGGTGGGGTTGCTGGGCTTGCACACCAGGGAAAGGAGCGTCCAGTTATTCCCAGGTAGCCTCTGAGCTTTTAGGTTAGAAAAATATGGCTAAAGACCTTTAAAAACAATTGTTTGTGGTGCGATTGAACAAAAGGATGTGCGGAGAACCAGTTTCCCGAGGAAGGAAGATTTCAGTTCGCTTATTTAAAAGAGAAAATGTGAAAGACAATTAGGGACAAACAGATGTGGGTCTGTTTTGCACAGGGAGGAAACTCTTATTGCTATAATATATCTACCAGTATTCACAATATATGTATGTGGAGTTTTGTCTTTTGTATTTTTTTGATGCAATTTTTTTTAAAAAAATGTTTTGACTAGTTTTGATTTCTCTTTGCAAGTCTTTTTGGAAGTTTCTTTTGTAAGTTTTTGAATCAAATAAAAATGTAAGAAAGGAGTCTTAACAAACAGGTGTGCGAAACTTAAACTTACTATGGGTGGGAAGGGAGGGTCATTTTAAAGAGGCCCCGCAGCAAGAGCAGAAAAAGAATCCAACCATCTCAGTTTGCAGGAGAGTAATAAGCGTCTGAAGCAGCAAAAGGAGAAGTTCAAGGAAGAAGTGGCTGAACTGAGGGGTCCCTGCTGAACCCCTTGCCCCACCTCTTCCCTCGTGTCCCACCATCCCCAAAGCTTTGCCAGCTACTCTCTGTTGTTCCATGGATCTCCTAGATCGCCTCAGAGATCATGCCCTTCTCCCATATCCTTCCTCATCCCATGCCCTGAAGAAAAAGAACCTCCTACAAAGCAGGTAAAGGGGCTCCCAGACCTTCTGTCCAAGCTCAGAAATGCCCAACTACTAGCTCTGAAATCAGAATCACCAGAATCATCCAGAGCAGGGGTTGCCAACCTTTTGGACCTCAGGGACGACCAAACTCATAATTTTAGATCCCAGGGACCACTAACCGGTTCTGTGGGTGTGGCCTAATTTGTGGATGTGGCTTGGTGGTCTTGTGACTGGCTGGGCATGGCTTGTATGTAAATATTATAAATATTTATATAAATATTGAATTTTTTTATATAAAAAAAAACTTTTACCCAAAATCAGGCAAAGCAGGAAGACAGATTGAGTTGCTCACAGAATCACAGATTCACTCAGAGATCTATCTATCTGCCATTGGCTAGCTCAGTCTGTCACATAAAATTTGCTTGCAAGCAAACTCATAAAATTTGGTAGCAAGCAAACTCACAAAATTAACTCACAACACACCATGCATGTAAATATTGAATTTTTTATTTTAAAAAAGAGCAACTTTTACCCAAAATCAGGCAAAGCAGGCAGATTGAGTTGCTCACAGAATCATTCAGTGATCTATCTATCTGCCATCGGCTAGCTCAGTCTCTCAAATTTGCTTGCCGTGAGTCTGCACTGATTTTGCTTGCAAGCAAACCTTCAGTCCTAAGGGAGGTTTGGCTGTGCTGAGCTGAAGATCTAAAGACTAGCTAGAAATCAAGAAATCCAACCATTTCCTGCTTCCTAGTTAATCTAAATCTCTCGGCACAGCAGAACAGATGATGGTCGGAAAAAGGAAAAATAGCAATTTAGCAGGCAAGTTTACTGGGTAAGGAGTGAGTGGGCAGGGAGGGTTCCCGCGGGCCATGTGGGTGGCACAGCCTTGTGTTTCTGCGCAGCCTGGATTAATTTCTTTGTGGGGGTGTTCTGGGGGTGAGATTTCTCTGCGCCCCACTAAAATTTTCTCACGGCCCACCAGTGGGCTACAGCCCATCGGTTAGTGACCACTGATCCAGAGTGATTTAGCCCCACAATGAGTTTATTTCCACTATGTGGAACCTCTGCCCCTTATGAGGCCCCAGGTGCTTGTTCCATAGAGCCCCTGTCAGGCTACAGAACTTTTCCCATTCAATCAACTAGAATGAACATCTGAAAATGTATCAAAAGGAATCCTTTATTGAGATGAGACAATTCATGTAGGGGTCAAAAGCAGCGTCTAAGGTCTCTCAGGCATGCAGAGATAGATAAGGGAGTTTAAAATCCCTACCCTTATCCTGATGTATATTTAGTAAAACAAAGAGCCAACATGTTAATTCCCCCCACCCCCTTTTTAGAACAATCTTTTACAGAGTTTCCCAGGGCATACCTAATTCCCCCCCACCCCCTTTTTTAGAACGATCTTTTACAGAGTTTCCCAGGCCACATCTCACTGTGGAATTTTTATGGTCTCTTCATCTCCTGGCTGTTTCTCTTGGAGGTGATAGATTCCGGCCATCTGGGTTTCATCTCTCCATTGTATCATGTGTAGGTTATACAAATTCGATGTAAGATTAAATATATTCAGGTTACATCAAGAAGGATATTTTTATCAGTCCCCCCCCCCTTTTCTTCTTTCATTGAAGAAATGACAGATACATGGATCTGACAGCCCTGCACAATCTACACAACCTCTTTCTCCAGCCCCCTAAGCTAGAAAGTGATCTTTTAGGATCCCAGTGGGAGTTAAAGGCCACATTGGAGGCCTAGCAAGCTTTCCCAATGACCTGGACAAGAGAGGCTGAAGTGGAGAGGCAGTGTACGTTATGGGTCCCCTCCCTTAAGGAGGTCCATCTATTTGGATCAAGAAGAAGTTCCTACTCCTTGGTGGTTCCTTCCCCATTGGAGTCAAGATTGGCTCCCACCTTGAAACTCTTTCCAAAGGCCCTGAAGATTTTGCCTGTAGATCTGCTCCCACCCCTATTGCTTTGATGGTTGTCAAGGAGGGTGGGGGATTTGTTGGGTTTTCCACTTGGGGTTTTTATATCTGTCAGTCATCTGGAATCAATGTGTCATGCCTTCTGGGTCTGACTCAGTTGCAGTGCAGGCTGGGTCTGGCACTCAGTTCACACGCTCACATTCTAGAAATCCTTGGGGGTTTCCACCCTTCCTAGTTCTCCTCACTGCAGTGTGTGTGGCTCATGAGGAAGCAGCAGAAGCGAATAGCAGTAGCACTTAGACTTATATACCGCTTCACAATGCTTTTACAGCCCTCTCTAAGCAGTTGACAGTCAGCCTCTTGCCCCCAACAATCTGGGTCCTCCTTTACAGAATAATAACAGAGTTGGAAGGGACCTTGAAGGTCTTCTAGTCCAACCCCATGCTCAAGCAGGAAAACCTATACCATTCCAGACCAATGGCTGTCCAATCTCTTCTTAAGAACCCCCAGTGTTGGAGCACACAAAGTTTCTGGAGGCAAGTGGTTCATTCCACTGATTAATTGTTCTCACAGACAGGAACATTTCCCCCTAATTCCAGGTTGGATCTCTCTTTGTTCCAGCCAAGACTTAAGATTGAGGACTTCTTCATTCTTTGTTGTGGACCAACCAAGTGTTCAGCAGCAGCCAAAGGCCTGGGCCTCCCTGCTTCCACCGTCCAGGCTCTGGGCTTGAGCTTTGGTTGAATTTGGTCTTGTGTGTTAGTTGCATCCATTCCTAGATCTAGAGCCTCTGCTCACTATCACTCATGCTCTATTCACTTCCTAGTTGGACTACTGCAATGCACTCTCTATGGGGCTGCCCTTGAAGAGTATGTGGAAGCTTCAGCTGCTGGGAACCGAAGAGGCACAGGCAGTGATGTGTGTTTCCAAAAGAAACCCATATTGCAGCCCTGCCCTGGGAGATGCACTGGTTGTCAGGCCGTTTCTGGGTCCAGTTCAGAGCCTGGTGAGGGAGAGGGACAGCCCCAACTGACATCCCTCTTAGCAGCCAGCCAAATAGACAGGAAGAGCCAGGAGGAGCCTGGAAAGGGAAGAGAGGGTGAAGGGCAGAGTCGGGGAAAGGAGGATATGCAGCTCCAGCTCTTCTCTCCAGGGCTATTGTGAAAAAGATGAACTTCACAGCTCTGGAAGCTGGAGATCGGAGCTAGCAGGCGCCGCCCGGAGAATTTTATGATTGGGGTGGGCGTGGGGGATTGGAGGGAAGCTTAGCCTTTGCCTGGAAAGGGCTGGTCGTGAGTAGAGGAGGAGGAGTTGGGCAAGTCTCCTTTCAGAAAAACAAACGGGAAAAAAACCCCACCGCAACTCCTTAAAGGGGGCTCGGTGAAGCGCCAAGGAAGGAAGCCGTTTTCTTGCGAAGGGAGTTTCCGCGAGGGAAGAGGCAGCGCCTCCCCGCTTCCCTCCCTGCTTCTCCCCCTTCTTCATTCTTTGTTGTGGACCAACCAAGTGCAGCGGCCAAAGGCCTGGGCCTCCCTGGTTCCACTGTCCAGGCTCTGGGCTTGAGCTCAGAGGGCAAAACTGACCGCTAATGTCGAGGTTCATAGTGGCCTCTTCCCTTGTAACTGCTTTGGTTGAATTTGGAAGACTCAACGAAGACTCGCCAGAGCCTGCGGGGAAGAGCCGGCACTGAACGCCGAGGACCGCCAGTGATCCAAAAAAGTCGCAAAGCGCCAAATTGGGCTCGCTTTGTGTCTTGTGCCTAGATTCGTGTCCGCGTTTGGCGCCGAAGGTAACTGGCGGGCTAGGCAAGCCAGCCAAGGGGGAGAAAAGAAAGTGGGAAGGCTCGGCGGGTGAGAAAGGGAAGAGCTTTATTTTCAGTTACCTGGATTTAAAGAACGGCCGATTCCAGCCGGCTCTTGGTCACCCAGAGACAATCCAGCGCCTCCCTTGGGAGTTCGAAACCAGCCCCCATCATCCTGTAAGAAGGCAGACCCGCCCCTAAGAATGTCCCCGAAAAGACGCCTCTATCAAAGGGGAGGGGGGAACTTCCCTGAGAATAAGAAGCAACCCATGCCTCTCCCTTGGTGTCTCTATCAGAGATAGCGATAAATCACCTCGGGCATTATTTAAATCTCTAGTCTAAAGCAACGGCCCCCAACCTTTTGGGCCCCAGGGACCGGTTCCGTGGAGAGGTGTTTTTCCGTGGACCGGAGAGGACGTGGATTTGCATGCTCCCTGCATCCCACGGATGAGGCTTCGCTTATTTGTGTGACCCAGTTTCTGGCATGCTGTGGCCCGATGCGGGGCTATGGGGGGGGGGGGGCTGGGGACCCCTGCTCTAAAGAACTCAAGCAGTTAGACACCGGCAAGTTTCATTCATGAGTACCCAAAGCCACAAACAGATTGCTTACTGCCAGAGTCTTTTACAAGACAGACAGATAAAAGACCCCTTTTAAATTTATATTCCCATCTGCCTTCAAAGACAGGACATAACACTTTAAAGAGAGTTAGCGACAATCTTTTTTTTTTTAAGTATTTTTATTTTATTTATCCATCTTTCAATTCAACAGTGGGTACATATATCTTGCCCATATATTCATATTTAATATACACTTCTTACTATAATATCATTAAGATTGCATTCATGTTAAAAAAGCCATCCTTATTTCTCTCATCATTATAATAATCTCAATACATCTGATCTTGTATTCGTTTAGCTTCTTTACTTTGTTTTCCAACCATTTATAAAATACATCCCGTATCATATAATATTCCATTTCTTCTTGTTCTTTAATTGCTAGTGTTAGTCTGTTCATTTCTGCACATTCAAATATTTTCATACTCACCTCTTCCTCTGTTGGAATCTTATCATTGTTCCAATTTTGGGTAAATACAATTCTAGCTGCTGTTAATATATGAATAATTAAATGTTTTTTTCTTTACTATAATTATCAGGTAAAATTCCCAACAGAAATATCTCAGGTTTTAAATCTATGTGTTGTTTTATCATCTTTTCCAACCATGTATGTTTTTTTTGTCCAGTATCTTTTAGTCCACCACATGTCCACCACATACATGTCCACTACATATGGTAATATGATCCTGGTATCTGGTAGCATTTCCAACATTTGGCTGATTTATCTTTAAACAGCTTTGCCAGCTTTGCTGGCACAAGATGCCATCGATAAAATATCTTATACAAATTTTCTTTATACGCTGTTGACATTGTTACTTTATAGCTTCTATCCCACAGTGTCAGGCTACAGAACTTTTTCCCATTCCATTAGCAAGAATGAACTTCTGAGAACCAAACGTATCAAAAGGAATCCTTTATTGAGATGAGACAATTCATGCAGGAGTTCAAAGTGAAGCAGTTGAAAAAGGCATATAAAGCACTTTTTATATTTAGCACAGGTCAACAAGTGATATTTAGCAAAGGTCCCAGTTTCCCATAGCTTTGCTTAACATAACAATGTGTAAACCCGCAATATTGCTGAACTCAGGAACTTGAACTAACCACGTTAGTGTAAACAAGGGTGAATATGGAAAATAACTCATGGTGTAAGATAACTGAGTAATCAAAAATGTACTTGTTATTTCCTTTTTATACTTCCTTAATAGACATGTATACAATATTATCCTTATTTGGTAAAATGTAGTAAAAGGAATGCCCAGGTCTGAGCTGAGGTCATAACGAGTATAAAAATATTGTCTTAGGAAGAACTGGGGGTTCAGAATTTGCCATGCTAATGCTCTGAACACTGCGCAAATAAAACCCGTATTCTCCAACCTTTTGTGGTCTTGTGTCCTGATTTGGAAGCAAGATTTGCTGCAACAAAAGCAGTATCATGTGTAGGTTATACAAATTCGATATAAGGTTAAATATATTCAGGTTACATCAAGAAACGATTTCTTTATCAGCCTCCCCCACCCCCGCCTTTTCTTCTTCCACTGAAGAAATGACAGATACACGGATCTGACACACAGCTTCTGCCATTTATCTAGTTCTATCCCATAACCAAAGTTTTCCCCCCAGGCTGTCATCATTTCCTTCACTTGTTCTTCTTCTAGTTTCACTCCTAACAGATAGTTTCTTAATCATCTTTTCTTCTGTTCCTGTCATAATTTTATTTAATTCTGTCAACTTATTGTAAAACCCCCTCCTCTTTAACATCTTTTTCATATCTAGAATGTATTTGCATATGAATACCAATTCATATCAATCCCTTGTTCATTTAATTCTTGTTTTGTTTTGAGTTCACCCTTTCATTTAAAACATCTTTATATCTAACAATATTTCCCATTTTAAAAACATTTAGATATATAAATGCTTCCATCGTCAATAGCCAGACTGGAATCTTCAAATAGTGTTTTCTTATTTTCTCCCATATTAACAATAAAGCATTTCTTACATAGTGTCTTTAAATGTAACCATGAGACTTATTTTTCCCTTACCATAAAAAAGCATGCCATCCCAATTACAAGTCATGTCCCTCCAATATCAATAACCTTGTATTCCTAAATACAATCCATTCTTTCATCCACATCAATATCACAGCTTGGTAATATAATTCCCAATTAGGTAACCAAAACCCTCATCTAATTCTTGCATCCTGTAGCAGTTTTAGTTTAATCCTTGCTTTTTTCCCTTGCCATATATATTTTAGTATTATTTTGTTTAAGTCATCAAAGTATTTTTTCTCCAATTTTATTGGAATTGTTTGAAACAAATATAGTATTCTTGGTAGTACATTCATCTTAATTGCTATTCTCCCTATTAATGACAATTGCAAATTTTTCCATTTTTCCAAACCTATTTTAATCTGTTGTTTTCATTTATAATAATCTTCTTTAATTGTCCCACATCTTGCTGTCAGTTGAATCCCCAAGTATTTCACTTTCTTTGTAATTTGAATATCTAATCTGTCCATTAATTCTCTTTTTTGCTTTTCTGTGATATTTTTCACAAAAATCTTAGTTTTTTCCTTATTAATTTTCAATCCCGCAACTTCTCCATATTCTTCTATCCTTTTTTTCAGTTTGGGTCCTGTTTCTAGTGGTTCTTCTAATATAAAAACTAGATCGTCTGCAAATGCCTGCAATTTGTACTCTTCCTTTTTTATCTCCATGCCCTTTATTTCCTTATCTTCTCTAATGTCAATATAAATAACAGTGGTGACAGAGGGCATCCTTGTCTTGTTCCTTTCTTAGTATTAACTTTCCCAGTCAAATTGAATTATTCAATGTCCATCTTGTTCTCTTCTTTTGTCCCTTCCGTGGAATTCTTTTCCTTTTTCTATAGCAACAAACTGACACAACTTTGCAAACACACATTCAAGGAATATTCATATTTTACAACCCAAAATATTTCAATTTCAAAGGGGTAGCCCTAGAATGATATAAAAATCCACACACCCATCGGGTCATCCCAAAGGTGCCTTTTTTTTTTCAAGAGGCAACTGGACTTCCTTGTTTTTCTTTGAAGAGGTTTCGCTTCTCATCCAAGAAGCTTCTTCAGCTTCTCTTGGATGAGAAGCGAAACGTCTTCAAATAAAAACAAACAAACAGAAAGTCCAGATTTTTCCTGAAAAAAGAACCTTTGGGACAAGCATGACCTGGATGACTGAGAATTTCCATAGACTTTTAGCCATGCACTTTAGGATGAACACCATATGAATGGTGTGGGAGAAGGGACAGAGTTCCAGAGAAAAATTGCAGACTACAGGAACATTTGCAGGACTCATGTGACCCTGAGGGCACAGATAAACCTCCAAGTGGCCTCAATGACTCTCTAAGAGGATGCAAATGGCCAGCTGTCTGCAAGGAATATAAATCCTTCCATTCCCCACTCTCCAGTCAGAGCTGAAGAAGCTTCTTGGATGAGAAGGGAAATGTCTTCAAAAGAAAAAAACAAACCAGAAAGTCCAGTTGCCTCCTGAAAACAAACCCTTGGGACACCCATGACCTGGATGACTGAGAATCTCCATGGACTCTCTTTGTTGTAGGCTAAACAAGCCAAAGCAAAGTCATTGATTTTAACAAAAGTGTGGATTATGGAGAGAGCCATTCAAACAGTGAAGGAACTGCAGGAAGTTCTGCAAATATACATTTGCTTGCTAACTGAAGATCCTTGCCTACGAAAAAGATAAGCATGAAATATTTCTTCCTCAGTTTTAACTGATAAAAAACAGTGTTTGGCAAGAAGAACTCGGTGGGTGTATCTGAATTGGTATCAGTTTCTCTTCTGGCCTCAGTTCTCCTACCTGGACATTTTTTTCCTGGCAGTTAAATCAAATTGGGATAATCTATGGAGTGGGAGGATAAAGGTTCTTTCAATGCTTGGAGAGAGAATGCAGAGTGGGGGGGTCCTTGTGTCCTTCATTTCAAGCACTTCGTTTCTTGGGCTGCCTTCTCTCCTTTCCCCAGCAGCTCTTGGGGGGGGGGGGGCGTTCAGTAACCTCAGAGGATGTGAAACCACCAGATGAGGCTCCTGGACAGCAACGAAAGGCTCAACGGAGGGAGGGAAACTGCAGATGTTTATTTCAGGAGCTTCTGAGAATAGCAACTGTATTTTAGAATTGTGAGAATAGCAACTTTCTGTTTCCATAGCTGCTGCTTCTTCTTTTCTTTTCTTTTTGTAAATTTTATTGGTTTTTAAAAACAAACAAAAACAGACAAAACATAAAAACATCAACCTTTCTTCCATGAATATACAAGCAGTGTGTCGGCTGGTTTACAAATTTTTTGTGCATCCATTTCATAGTCATCAATTACAGTTACATTGTATAATAACTCATATTCTCAATCAGAGATTAACTACCCTAGTATCATTATTATTCAATCATTTGACAATAATTTTGTTCATTCATATTTTGTGAGATAACTATAATTTACTTAGTATCATTTTATAACAATTCATATAATCTTCCCAAATCTATCCTAATTTTTTTTATAGATATAGTAAAAAAGAAAAAAAAGAGTACATCTTTATATATTTATTATTTTCTAAGATTCTACATATTTCATTATTGTATTTTATTATCTAACCATTGATAAAAAAAAAGGTCCCAAATTTTATAGAATTGTTTATCCTCTTGCTCTCTAATTTCAAATGTCAATCTACTCATTTCAGCACATTCCAATATTTTCTTAATGATTTCCTCCTGCGATGGTATTTTCTCATTTTTCCAGTTTTTAGCAAATACAATCCTAGCCGCAGTTAGTACATTTACAATCAGGTATTTCAAATCT